TGCGGACGAAAGAATTGCGAAGAGCGTTTGGAAGGAGGGGAACATCAGGGGGGGGGGGGGAGGGAAGTATGCCCGGCACTTTATACAATATCATTGCTTGGCGATCATCTTGCTTTGGTAAGGGCCGGGCATACATAACGCAATTTGATTGTCGCGATTTGCTGGAAGTAGCAACGAAAACACAGGGAGTGAACTACTAGTTGCTTGCTCATGGACTTACTCTTGCAGTGATTCTTGCATTCTCAAAGCACGCTATGCATGCTTTCAAACTACCCAAAATTTTTGTATCACATTCAGCCCGATATTTCCCATCTGCAGGTAGTTCGTTTTGTATTCTACCAGTGCTTCACCTCTGCTTCGCACAGGCTCGCACTGGCCCTACTATCTGTATGTCTTACTCATTATCGCACAATAATGACATTGGAACTCACCGCGCTATGCAGACTATCACGAATGATTTGTAAACAACTATTCATTCCCAAAGCTTCTCCATATGAGATCGGTAATTTCACATGAATGAAACTTTTCTCGAAAGAACAAATGCAAATTTGAATCGGTTTTTGGACTTTTCATGGCTTGATATTCGCGATAAGATGCCATAATCAACGTGGGCTACATATCTGTGCAAAAATCTTCTCAAACGATCGGGTAAAATCTTGGCAAATTGAACATTTACGCAACCAATTCTTTTTGGCGCCGTTTTCGTAAAGTAATAAACTTTAGTTCAATTTTTTAGGCTAAAGATCATGGCTTGCACATTAACATGTCAAAAATATCCGTGAAATTGCAAAAAGTTGCGCTACAGACTCAATTTTACTGACCAAAAGCCAAGTCCGATTGACGCGCGTTTTTTGAGGGATCCACACAATGGATCCGCTCGTGTTTTTGTATAGTAGACTCTCATGTTGGTAGCAGGCGCTGTGCAAAATTTGGGCTCAGGAGGTTGGCTGGAACACGTTCTATGAATTTCGTGACAGACAGACATTCAGACACACACATACAAAAACACGTAAACACTCTAAGCGCGTTATTATAGTAGGATAATCGATTTTAAGCGCAGGACCAGAAGTTTCGGCGTTATTTCAATATCACGTACTCAAAATTTTCATCTTAAATCTTGCTTGAACCGTGTTTAACCGAAACATGCAGTAATAAAGTGTGCATCAATAAAAACCTGAACGGCATAGAAGAATTGTTCAAGATATAAACTCAGTGCCCAAGTTACAAAAAAAGAGGACTTACAGTATTGTCAACTTTAAATTTTGTGCTTCTAACCGTTTTCGGCTATGCTCTTTTGCATGGCATTAACTGCTTTCTACAATTTTTCAAAAAGCTCCAAAACACTCGTTTACCGCACTTTATTTTTGAGATAGAATACTAATGCGCATTCATGGAAAAAATCTCAGGGTAGCAAGCCGTAAATTCACATGTAGACATCTAACTGTAAGTAAGAGAGAGGCATTAATTGGATGTTTATCCACCAGCAGATGCTCAAACTCACAGTAAGTAATTACCCTAAAATCCCATAGATAAGAGCGGTTTGATTTACCGGTGAAAAATGAATTGGAAAAATTGAAATTGAATGCAGTCACCCCTCTAACTTGATGGATGGATAAATAAAAATCGGAAAAGAAGTTTAGAAGAAAATCCGCCCCTCAACTCTAAACCCCGCCCACCTAATAAAAATTTATATAGAAATTCCGAAATTCCGTTAAAATCGCTATTTTTCTATATGAATTGTTTATATAGGGGCGGGGTTTAGAGTTGAGGGGCGGAGCTTTTTCTAAAATTCTTCTCCGATTTTTATTTATCCATCCATCAAGTTGGAGGGGTGACTGCATTCAATTTCAATTTTTCCAATTCATTTTTCACCGGTAAATTAAACCGCTCTTATCTATGGGATTTTAGGGTAGAATCAGCTATCTAACCTGACCTTAACGTTAGGTGAGGTGATTGCTGAAAGAACATGAGAAGTACATGCGTACAGAGAATTAGATACGAAAACGGTTTATGAAAAACAGTTGACGTTTCTCAAAACGAGTGTTTTCAAAAGGGCTGTTATGTTAACAACAACAGCAGGGAGTGTCATGAGCACAGCTGCGTTTTTTTGCATATTGCACTATCACACTTTTCATAAAAGTTGTTTGTCCTAATCAAGTCCAAGATTTCAGGAGGCACGGGCTGGGGAAGAAGATTTGGTTACGGAGGCTACAACAGAGGCTTTGGGTAATATCCAGGGTCGAGCAAGAGGTGTGGCACACAACCACCTAATATGACCCCTGTGTCAATACTTCCCCCCCCCCCCCGCCCCCCCACCTTACTTATCGTTCGCCTTCCGCAGGCATGACATAAAGGCTACCAAGCATTATTACTAACACATTCATTATCATGTCAAATAAGCCCGTATTGAGCCACCTAAATTAAGTGGTCATTTTCAAAGATGACTAACTAGATTTGAAAGTGAAATAGCTAACTTTTCTGCTCAATACAAAGCACTATTCCCTTATTTATCCATATCATGAATCCTGCTCTAGATAACCATCAAAATGTGGAATCAGAAACAGACCAAAATCTCGTATGTCCCATTTTTTGCTTTTAGTGACTGAGTTTGACCAACTATTTACCGCAAAGCAATCGGACCAGGCCCAAATTCCTTATGTAAAAAATATGAGATTCAGGCTATCCAACATTATAGATGTTGTTCGCTAAAATTCGGACATAGTTTACGGACATCCTCGGACATAGTTTACGCGATTGATCGTCGCGATTCAATCGCTACAGACAAGTGTTAAGTTCACTATATGCCGATTTTCTTGCATTTTGGTTGCGATACTTTTCCAACATGACTAATCGTGACTAACTGTCACAACCGGAATACAAGAAGATGGGCATGCAATGAACTCGTAACACTTGTTACCTTATAATCCGAGAATTGCTCTATTTGATCCATACTTAATCCTTCCCGAAACTTTGGAATGAAATTTAGAACTTTGGAATGAAATTTAAAAAAGTAGCTTAACTTTGAGCAGATAAAATTGACGGGTGGAGAACTTTAGCAATTATCAAAAAAGCATACAAGATTGTGGTTCGAAAATGTATTCTTAAAAGAGAGGGAAAAGCCATCGAATGCATGTTGAGATTCATTCAGGTCTTTATTGTGTCTGGTCCTATAGTCGTTTGAAAAAACGAACAAAACTTTCGGGACAACAGCAGAGGTTCACTGATTCTATCACTGTAGGCCTTCCTCGTGCTCCTCCAGTGCTATCTTAGAACTCACGCAATGCTGACCATTATGAATAAATTACAAACAACTACCTAATTTAAAAGGTTTTCCATCTTAAATCTATAGCTTTGGGAAAAAGTTCTGTGTAACTTCTGAAGAAACTTCTGTAAGGAAGTATAAATGCGTTGAAACGATTACTAACAAGGGAATGTTCAGAAATCGAAGTGGCAATTCCAGAGAAGCTGCATAGCGTTAAATGCAGCATGAAGCGCTGACTCTAAATCTGTTTTCTTTACCTGCTTATCGCTTTTCTGGACGAAGTTATAAGCCATTAAAGACCATTTTTTTGCTTAGAAATTATGCGTGAAATTGAAAATCTAGCCGTACAGAGCCTCGTTCGCTTCAATGCTGGGCCAAAACATGCAGCTAGCTTACTTAAAATTTTTGAAGCCAGAAGCCGAGCTAAAAGTGCAACAATGTGCTCAATTTCGCTGTTTGTATGTATGATTTTTTCACAATAAAACCGCTTGTAGCTTCGTCCACAGAAGCGGGAAGCAGATAAGAAAGACAGACTCGAAGTCAGCGTTTTATACTGCATCGAATGACATACAGCTTCTTTGGTTTGGCCACTTCGACTTCTGACCATTCCCTTGTAAGTAAGGCTTAGTAGCCTTCTTAAAAGGCCACGAACACCTTGAACTACTTGTTTGAGTGAAATTCTTCTATTTCCTAGGTGAAATAAAAAATGAAGATATAAGCAAGAGGCGGCAAACGAGTGGGGCTAAATTTGTGGCAAGTGGTGTTTACAGAGTAATCTACCACAAATTAGACGAGTAATTTACATTCGTAATGTACATGTCTTAGATAATTTTACAGGAAAGAGGAAAATTTCTCAGAAGGCTCAAAAGCAGAGTCTACAGCTCCGAGCAACTATGTTATACTGTATGGCATGTGCAGAACGTACGTGCCCTACTACGATTTCAATTCTTTCTTAGTAAAGATGAGCCAAATTTTTGAGATTTTGGAGCCAGCGCGGCAATTTGTGCAATGAGTACTAACTAGTATACTCAAACTCGCCATTGCTTTACGAGGGCCCTGGAAGACCGTAACTACTGATATTATCCGAGATATGCGTTCATTTTTCAATCCAAAAATACTCACATCTAGAGGCGACCGGCAGATACCAAGGACATGCTTGAAATCAGGGTCTACTTTTTTACAAAATGTATAGTACTCGATCAGAAAAGCGACCTTGACCAAGCATTCCTTGCAAGCTTTTTGGTGCAATATTTTCCTCAAGCACACTAATGTCACTACAGTTCCAGCTGCAAATACCTTTCCAATTTAATCATTTACCTCGCTAGCTGCTAAAAAGCTGTTTTTTCATAAGCTTTTTTGTAAGATCAATGAATTCTCTCTACTTTTCCCTGACATTGAATGTAAATAATTTCGCTATTCAGTATTTGCTGCACCAACATAGATATTCTTCGCAGGCTCTGTACCTAACTTTTTTTGCCATAACGATGTACGAAATGGTACTTGAACAGAGTTTTCGCCCTGGGACAAATTGTACAAAGTAGAGAGGGCTAAGGGCAAATTCTGGAACGGACTTTCACCTATTTGTAACTGTGACCGTTTTTCATCAACAAAGCTCCCTCTTATTGACTAGTGCTCTTTTAATCGTAAACTGATAAGAGTAAAATAAAAAAGAGTTTTTGTACAGTTCACTTCACCATTAAAATGTCAAAGATCTGTTATCAGGAAATTTGAAGCATTTGTGAAACAGCATATCAATCGCCATGTTACTATTCTGTGCTGTAATTTTTGTTGGAGCTATTCAACTGGTTGACGCTGATCCTTTCGGAGTAAGATTTCATATTTTTTCTACAGACTTCCTTGTTATGTATGAAATTCTTTCGAGTTTTCTTGGACATTAGCGCTCTTCGTTTGTATAATTAATTCACTTATTTTTGCGACTCCAAGAGAAAGTGAGTAGGAAGTATTCATATCCAAACGCTTTTTCGCAGGAAACACAAAAACATCGCTCAACTCAGTATTTCAGCAGTTCCCATTTCCATTCCCAATCGGCCCCATTGATCCGTCAGAATTTCTGAACGTAACGGATCTATCAGAGCAATGCCTAACAGATGTCAATAGATTCACATCAAGTCTAAACACCTATGTGCAAACCTTCACGGAATGTCAACAAGCCGGAGGATGTACTAAAGAGCAACAGAGAGTGCTCGACGAGCACATTTTTGCCGTGCAGCGTCAGTTTTCCATTGTCTATTCAGAAATTTTACTCAAGCAGTTTCGAAATTTTGGGAAGGGTGAATAATCTACTTTCTAATTGTAAGCAGTTCCAAAATTTTGGGCAGGAGGGGGGAGTCGCGAAGGCGTTTTGACGAATAACCTTGCGACAAGTAAATTTGCGATAACTAGAGAAGGCACTTGCAAGAACATTCATAACATTATTTAGAGATTGACTCTTTTGGCAAAATTCCGGCAGGATTACTGGAGTACACAATAGTCAACACTGGATCGTACTCGGAATGCATGGATTTAGTGGCACCTTACAAAGTGCAGTTCTGTTACGTGGCCGCCAACGTTGCCTTGGTATGCAGCTTTTTTAGAATGCTTGAATCTCTCACACTAACAGTCTACAGGAAGGGCCCCAAGTAGGAGGACTTGGTCCAAAAGTTGCTGTTTGTATGCCAAGAAGTTGCACTGAAACGGTAACTATCAAAAAAGAGTGGTGCATGATGATTCTTCTGGTCTTTGTTCAGGATATCACAAAGATTTTGGAAGGCACTGGTATACAGCAATATGTACCCATCAACTTCACAGCTTCTGCAAATTGTGTACCATTGAAAAACACTTACTCTGCAAACTTTTGGATATTTATGTAAGTTTAATTGCTTCCGAGTTTGCAATGAGAGAGCACTCTGCGAATTTCTGAAATTTTAAGTAAGCTTCACCGCTACTATAATAGTATGAAGATCAGTAAGTTAAACGTTCTCTCTTCTCTAAACCTGGGCATTTGGACTGATGTTATTAGTTGTCATATGATATTATGCCAGTGCCAGGTTTGTACGGTGGAATGTTTTATTGGCCTTACGTTTCGACAAAATCGTCTTCGTCGGAGGCCTGAAAGTAGATTGCAGTGTTATCTGTGGGAGAGAACCGCCAAACGCCTCCCCGCACTGCCGAGTCTAGACCACGCTCTGAACTCAACGTACAGGGGCATGTCGACCAGAAGACGCACCTTTATCCACCGTGGTGTTAGTGAGAGTCAGTAGAGTCAGTACTTAGTCGCACCGAAGAGACAGACGACACTAAGTGCTGTCCTATGATCGTCACTTATATATGTGCAGACTATCGCTCACAGATCGTTAAGATAGGCAAAAGTTCGGCTGTTATTGATACACATTCATTTTTGTTGTTCATGCTAGGATTTCGAAGGGAAATCCACGCTGCCTCAACGGTTTTCCTCACTGTAATCTCTGCCTCATATGACAAAATAGTGCACTTAACGTCAAATTCACCGCCGTTGTGCGTTTCAATTCTGTGTCTTCCCAACGGCGACATTGCATTTGCTCGTCTTTTTGCCGCCAGATGCTCCTTAAGTCTAACGTTTCTCCGATATATGTCGCCTTGCAGTTCAAGCACTCCAATTCATACACTACTCCTGCTTTCGCGCAATCACCTACGTTTCCGTATGGGCAGACAATACATTGCTCTGATAGACATTCTGCGTCATATGAAGATCATTGTTTCATAAATTCCGTTACATTAGCTTGTGCGTTCACCGACGGAAAAATTACCTCCTGACAGTTCGAAAGACAGTGGCCTTTATAACTCGTCACAAATTTCGAAAAAAAGTATAGATCGAATTATAGATTTTCAAGTGGTACCGTAACCAATTCGCCTTAGGATACCAGTCCATGTTTTGGTATGCTCTAGTATAGTATGCTTTACATCTTCCAGACTGTTTTCATCAATTTTTTACATCTTTTCCGGACCTCAGATTATGCACATAACTGAGCACGTTTCTAGTCCTTGTAGATCGCTAACTCACAGTTATGTCCAATACTGAACCTTCTTTGCATCCCTCTTCTAAAGTCAAGCACAATGAAAGCGTTTTTTTTTGACACTAGCTGATGTTTTTGAAGGGAATTCTAAATACTACAAGCGGAGCTTTTGTTCGATGGATTATGTTTGAAAGAGACGACGAAAGAATATCTGTGGATCACCCAAGCAAATTTTTTGAAAGACGCTGTAGGTAGTAAAATCTGACTCATCTTTGTGTGCGCAGCAAAACATGGTGGCATATTTTGTGATGATATGTTCCCTGTCTGATATATCAGGGCGTCCCATAATTTTTTACCGCTTTTACCTTCCCCACAAAAAGACATATTCTTCTTGTCTCTCAACTAGGTTAAACGGTACCAGGTACCATTTTACAGAGCAAAGCAAGCTCTACAAGTAGCACCAAAACATTTGCTTAAAGCTTCTGCACAGTTTTTGAGGAATATCAAATTTTTCGCAAAAAGCCCAAAAAGACGCCTTTTTCAAATTTTTGCCTATTTTGCTGTATTTATGCTCTAACTAGTTATGGAGAAAATAAGCAAATTACAGATAAGTAACTGATATAGAGAGTACGTGCGAACAAGTAGGAAGTGGGTTGGTTTTGACGAAGGTGTGATTTTTCTCGACTTTTTGGGCATTTAGATCTCCTTATCGGCTTCAAATTTTGAGTAGAATAGACTTTGAGCATAGATTTGAGTGCTGTTGTGTAGAGCTTGCCTTGCTCTGTTGAATAATACCGCAAATCCAATTTGAAAAAACGATGATGAATTATCGCGGTACAATAAAAACGGTAAAAAATATATGGAATATCCTAGTAGACTATAAGAAGAAAGATTCGTGATCTGCGGCATAGAGTTAAACACAGTGTCTCACAAATATTGGGGTAGTGCGGGTCTTCACATATTTCGTTAGGGAACCCCCTGAACTGGCGAATGCTCCAAGTTCGACCTGATACGGGCCCTTCTACGCCGAAAAACTTGTCCTAAAAATGGCCCGCAAGGTGCTATTTGGCACGCACGGCCGACGCTCCCGGTTTCCCCCTTAAACCTCGGGCAGAGTTCACGCGATTTGATCGTTGCTATTCAATCGGGGTCGATCAATTCAATCAGGTGGAACTTGGAGCATTCGCCAGTTCAGGGGGTTCCCTAACAAAATATGTGGAGACCCGCACTACCCCAATATTTGTGAGAAACTGTCTTTAACTCTGTGACCATTGCATGCCGACCAGCTTGCACTTCGGTTGTGATACTTCTCCAGCCCGAAATTTTTGAATGTAAAATGAAAATGAATGGAAACCGCGGCGATTGAATCGCGGCGATCAAATCGCTTGAACTCTGTCCAAGGCTTTACGCGTTCCAACACGTCCCTCCGGCTTCCACCTCCAAGGTGCTGCTGCCATTGTGGCGAAAGCTAGAATGAAAAGGCATAACTCGTCCGCGTTGCTACCACGGGCCTTCAAAAAACGGGGTTTTCGCGCATTTTATGCGATTTTGGACTCGCATTGGGTTAACTAGGGACGAAACCGCTTACACTTTGTAAAAATCTCGATAACCAAATTTTGGTAAAACACTAGTTTTAAGGACCAAAAAAATAGGCTATTTCGTAAATTTATTTGCAACGCGAAATTTCAACGTTCGAGTGTGCAGTGCACATGGACGGCATGTCTGGGTTAAACTTTAAGCTGAGATTCGGGCAGAGTATTTTGCTGCTCATCAGTAATGGTTTTGTACCGAAAACAATTCTCTTTTTCAGTCTATGGTTTTTGCACGTTTGTGAAATCGGGGCGGGCAAGTGATCTTAATGAACTTTTGATAGTTTATCTCATTTATGATGGATCTAAAGAAAATTATGTTATCAGAGTGAAATTTGGCAAAATGTGCATTAACTGCGCAGCTATATAAAACGTGCGAAAGCTAGTTAGCCAGCCTGATTATGCTACAGATTTCCTTAGCTCTTCTTAAATTACTCGTGCTAGAACTATTACTTGACACTACAGAACCTTATATGGTCGTTTGGAGCACTGAATGTATCGTCTAGAATTGCTGATACAGAAATCTTTTTTGGGGGTTTGGAAGAGGTATTCTTTTACACAACTTTTATTTGTGAACAAGGTTGCTGTCTTCTTAATACTTTGTAATTCAAACCATCTAAATTTCCTATATAAAATTAGTTAGATGTTCTTTTTTGATCAATGCGTTGATTTCAGATGCTTTCTGGCATTTTTTGTTATATGGGCGATCGCTGCTACTTTTACTGACTATGTTATTGACACTTACTACAAAGACAGAGTCTATGGTACAGGTAAGAGAGGGGTAAATTTTTCTTTCGGTGACGGACTTTTGCCACGATCAATTTCTATATTTACTATTGTCCAAGTGAATTTGAACACTTTCTGGTAGCTGCGACAGCAAGACTGCAAAATAGTGACGTCATGCAAAAGCTTAGGGTACGTAATGGTTGAGAAGTTACGATTTACAAATTCTGAGTTCTTTTTTTGGTAAGCTCTGAAATCTTGATAAGATGAGAAAAGTGCTCAGTAGAGATTATTCATGTTTGCTGATGGGCCGAAGCGCAGCTAAAATAATGGATACTTGCTAGAAGTTAGGGCGAAAATGAATCCAAAAGTGTGAATGTAGTGAGAAAATAAACAGAAATTCAACGAAACAATTGAGAGGCACTGCAGCTGAGGTGATTCAAAACAATTAGAAAAAAGCGTTACCGTCGCATCGCACAAACGCTTAACACATTGACGATCAAGGCATTTCACGGACCAATGAACATTTTCCAGATAAAATTACGCACCCACCTGCAGTGCATCTACAGTAACGCTGGAATGGCAAAAACAGTAGAGGATGTGTCTAGATCAAGATTAAAGGAAAACACTCGGGATGGGTTCGACACAAAATAGTAGCCATTTCAACGGCACATATGGCGTGTTAAAGGCAGCGTACACCCAAAACAAATGCAACAGATGTTGCAACAGCAACTGCAACTGCAATTGCAGCTTACGCTGTTATGGATTCGTCCGGAGGAGGCGGAGCGAAAGAAAAGGGGCGGCATGAAAGAAAACTGAGGGGGGTTTTCTCCACTCAGAAGCAACATTGGGAGACCGGACCAACGCAGTTGGTCTTCTTCTGGGCCCAGTATATACACGGTGTAGAAAAATCTAGAAAATTAGGCAACTTAGATTTTGGGTGTACGCTGCCTTTAAGGTTTGACACACATGTGTGTCAAGCGGTCGTCAATATGTTAATTATAAAGAAGAGTTAGGAAATTGATAGAGACATTGGTAAAATGCAGAGCAAGCACGAGTCCAGTATGCGTATGAAAAACAATATGCTATCCAAGGTTCTTTTTCACACTCTGGTTTCGGGGCTTGAACTAGACCAGATGGCCTTCCTGCCGCTCCCGGGTTCAGAAACCTTCTCATCAGTAGTTCACAGGAAGGCTTCAAAAGAAAATGAAAAGGAATAAATAGTGCTGAGTAGTGCTGACACGAGAGGAGATCAAAGTTTACAAAAGGGTGAATTAAGGAAGTAGTGCTGCTGCGAGAGAGTCTAAGGCGTACAAAAGTGCAAATAAACTGAATTATTGGTTCTCTCCTTCCCTCGCTCTTTCCCATCTATCCGCGTCTCCGAGTCTCTGTAGTAGTTCACTAATTTTGTTTTTAACTTCATTTATGAGAGGAAAATGTATTGCTGCATGGAAGCCGTACTTTCGTATAATGTATGGCCTTTCCCTAAGGGCATGACATAATGTTCGTACCACTTCAGCAACATTCCAGCCATTAAAAGTCAAGGCGTGTGGGTGGTATGTTATCAACATAAACTTTGAAATCTCCTAGGAGTTATTTGTTGATCGCGCTAGCGAGGACTGCTTACAGCAATAACTTTATTGACAATCTCTTTTTGAATAAACCGATGATTCAAGGAATGAAGGTGTTTCTCACCTATTCAATATACACCAATGGGGCAGGACTGATGGATGTGAGTCCCTATAAAAAAGGAACAATCAAATCGTTGGCATCAATTCGATTTATCTCAATGACCTGGGTTGTAGCAGGGCATGTGCTTATGGATATTATGGTCAGCGGTGCGTCAATTTTTTTGGTTTCATACACGATAGTTTGCGTCAATTCAGACACTTTGAAACCTGTTATGGAAATATGGAACCCATTTTTATCAACTACAATTATAAATGCTTTTTTCTCCGTGGACACCTTTTTTGTCTTATCTGGTATTCTGGTTTCCTACCTCTTCTTCAAAGTTAGGCCTTCTGCCGCATATGTCAGGAATCCTATGGTGTGGGTCATGCATTACGTGCATCGCTATTTAAGGTATGATTCATTCAAGGATAACCCTTATCAAAATACTGTGCTATCAATAATTTATCCTGATTGCAATAATATGGCGTTATACAAAATCAGCGCTCATTATAGATGTGGCCGAAAACAAGAAGCAGGGTTCTTTCGCGTGGGGACATGAGATATTATGGTATAGTCGGTAGGACACTAGCCGCACCCATTCCTCGCGCCATAAATGTCGTTATGAGAGATGAGCGCAAATCAGAGAGTTTCTTTAGTTGGGACTGTTTCACTTCCTAGATCCACTTTTTCTTTTGGACCATTCGAGAGCAGCGGGAAAAGCGAGCATGAATGCAGGCAGCTTGAAGAAACAATTGAGGACATTTGTGGTTGGTACATTGGCTAAGTATTTCATAAGTGGCAAATATTTCTCAGTTGTTGCAGCAGGCAGCATTTACTCAGAATTCACGCTCAGATGATTTTGCAATGTAAACCACCAATATAATTCTAGAAAAGGACGAATTCAGCACCCCCTAGAGTCAGTTTTCAGTGCGCGCAGCTTTACCTCCTGCAATTTCAGTGGCTGGCCATCGAAGAATTTCTTTGATAATTGATGCCAAGTCAAAACGTGCTGCCGTCACACACACTTTTACCAGAATCTCACGGCTACAGCTTGCGAAATATCTCAAAAAATCACGAACAATTTCTGTGACGCGTGTCGCTCTTGCTCTCCTTCTCGGATCACCACTGCTGAAAGTCAATGGCATGCTCCTCAGCTTGCTTTCAAATGTACCGCCTTAGTGATAATATAAAACTCGATAAATAATGTGGAAAGGCGAAATCGTTTTGGACTAGGTTAATAAGCTACTTTTTTTGAGAACTACGGCTCGGCGTTGTTTGAAAAGAGCATTACAAATATGAAAGTATACACGACATAATCTCCAACATTGCAATATTATCGCCGATATCCTGTTCCAGACTAACTCCACCTATCATGGTGTTCATCTGGTTTTACGTAGCTATAACCCCGCTTATTAATGGGCCATGGGCTCAGTCAGCGACGGGTATGCAAACATCCGCGTATAAACCGTGTGAGAAATATTGGTGGCATAATTTACTTTATATAAATAACTTCTTTAATATGACACAGGTATATCCTGCATTGTGAATTCGGAACCTTCCAGAACCCAAATTCTATTTGCAGAATTGCTATGGCATAACGTGGTACCTAGCGGTCGATATGCAGCTCTATGTTGTTGCTCCAGTCTTTCTCATTATATTCTACATCTCATCGTTTGCCGGTATCCAGAGATTTTAAGCTTGCTGAAAAAAAAGCTAGTGCTCTAGGAAGCGTACTTGTGTGTCTATGCATTGCTGGTAGCATAGCCTACGTGTACTATATCAGCATACATCTCGACCTTCCAGCAATCATGGTGGGAGCTTTTGCGATGAACGATGTAACAAACTTTGGATTGTAAGTGGTTTTCATCATTACAACGTAGAAAACGCTGTTGCGTATTTTAGGAAGCTAATGGACTTTTTTGATTTGTACTACCAAAAACCATGGAGTCGCTGCACACCGTACTTGATTGGATTTGTGGTTGGATACTTTCTTGCCTCAGGAAAGAAACCAAAACTGAACAAAGTATAGCTTTTATCTAAGGAGAAAGTTCTTGATAATGCATATCGCAGATGCTGATTGTATCTTTGTGGGGATTAGCCGCAGCAATTGCATTAGCATCTCTTTACGGTCCGCATAGGTACATCAAAGGAGAGGATTACTGGAGGTAGGCTATCGCAGACGATGCTAATCAAGATTTTTACAAGATTCCACTTTGCTTCTGCTGTATTAAATAATGATTTCTGTTGCTTTATCCACTTTTTCAAATTTACATCTTTTATTCATGAACAAATCATTTTCACCATTCTATTAGGATACCAAACGTAATGGGGCACCTCGATTTTTTGAATATTCTTCAAGATCTCTTTCTGATTAGCTATGAACAGCCAGCAATGTGGTTTTTTTAAAGTGACCTTCGCAGGTTATCTTAACAGCACCTTGCGGCACCTCACCGACATTCCTTCGAGCGGCGTTTCAAAAAAGTCGCCATCCGAATTTGTGCTGCTGCACCTGAAAATCCCTCGACATATGGCATACCATTCGAAAGAGCTTTCCAAGCTCTTTCTAATGATTAGTTGAATATTCGGAAATTGCCCTTTATTTCATACGAAAAAGGCACTTTATTCGAAAAAGTTCGGTGTTTGGCGCAGAATTTCGGACTGAAATTCATGTTTTGGCCCATAATTTTTTTGAAGAAAGTCTAAGTAATTTGCATATGTATGAATAGAGCGTAAAACCACTATAAGTAACTGTTAGGTTGATCTTATTTGATTACCTTGATGAATAATAAATAATATGTCTCCTGATACCCAATGCTATATCTTCTGTTCTAAAGCCTTGGGAACACCGCCCTACCGTGAATTTGGTGACAGTCTCCTCACCCATTGCTGCGCAGATATCTTTGGTAGGCTCACTTGTTCTACTGCGGTGCTGCTGCTCAAAGTTCAAAATTACTTGGAGTGGTGAGCTTTAATTTCAAGCGCTTATAAAAATACCGCCATGTGACGTGCCCAACTATAGACCTCGATCAGAAGGTTTTGTTATATACTAACATCTGCCAAAACTTGGTCTTCCAATTAGCTTTTCTATTTGAGAAAACTGCATTTATTCTCTGGGTGCCCCATTAGTTTTGGATCACCCTAATATTAGGTCAATACACAAGTCTCAAATGATTCATACCACAATAACATTTCTTCTACATTTAGCTTCGCATTCTTCAAACTTAATATAAAGGCTACTGCTTGACGAAGGCGCAGAAGCAGTATTAGTTGAGCGGGCGCGAACGCGGCGTGTGCGTATCTTCCCGTTGTAGATTCTGCTCTCATGCGCTCTGCTTCTGATAAGGCTGCGTTCGCACCCAGAGGTATTGCGCCTTTGTCAGGCAGCGGCTTTAAATGTCTAAACGATTTTGTCTAGGGCTTACTTTGCTCTACCGAATGTACTTTGAAGCTTACTTAACATGTAGTAATGATTTACCGCAGCGTAATTTCACTTTGCTGAGACTTATTTGCCGATGTAATAGCTGTATAGGTATCTCATGCTATGTTCAGCAACATAGTAAGTGGAACCTACAATAACTTCTCGAGATTTGGTTGGTCGATAGCAATAGCTTGGGTTGTAATCGCAAATCACTTGGGATGGGGAGGTATAGTGGTAGAGATGTGCATTCTTACAAAATCATTCATAATTGATATTGCAGGAATTATTGCCGATTTCATGGATCATCCATTGTGGCAACCGTTGGGCAGACTTTCCTACTGTGGATACATTGTACACTTTTTCCTAATCTCATACATTCTCGACCTAGATGATCGACCCTCACATTTTGTTTCAATCTGGCGCACGGTAAGAGCAAAAAGCAACGCCAACTCCTGTTGATTTGTATCTTACAGTACATATACGCGGGTATTCCAACAGTTGTTGTCTCATATGTTTTCGCCTTCTTTTGGAGCTGCCTCTTCGAAGTTCCTATTATAAGATTAGAAAAGATGTTGACTGCGAATCTAACACCAAAGAAAAGTCCTGCTTCTCCCAAGCAAGTCGCGCAGAAAGCTACGAAGGAAGCATAAGCGGAGTAAAAAATAACGTTCCCTAAATAACAGAATGACAGATTTGTTGATGTCAAATGGTGTTGAGCCTTCACAAATCTCATTCTGAGTACATGCTCTCAAGGTATAATATGTATAATGCTTGTTGTGTTGTTTACATTGTTCAAAAAATAATTTCTTGCTTTATTGACTTTTGTTATCTTCAGCACCAATTCGCGAAGCCGACTCTAACAGCGATATAAAGTATTGTATAAAACAAGATATTGGTCGTTACGTATTATTGTAGGTCTGAAGATAGTTTGCTAAAGAACTTTCAGCACCGATAGCCATCTAAACATTTTCAAAGAAATTTCGGAAAACTTATCATCTCAATGAACTATTTGCTAATATTACCACTTGACCTAGTACAGATTCGTAAGGGACACATGTCGTGATCACATTTTTGAATTCCAAAAAAATGGTGACGATTTACCTGGCTTAATTTACAAGGGAGTAGAGTTAGTCAAATGCGCAAAGCGCATCCTTTTGCGTGTAATTCCATACAGCTTTTTTTCAACGACAGCGTGAGTTTTGTTGAATTCTAGATGTGCTGACGTGTTGGGATTGGTTTGCTGAAGCGATGATGTCGTTTTTATCTGGGGTGCTTCCGATGATTTAAGATCTCATGGTCTTGGTCTAAACAAGTGGCAGCCTGTGAGATGTTTCCTACAAACAAGTAATACTTCTGTTTAAACGACTTCTGTTACTATTACTTGCTAAAGTAGCCTTGATCCTTGCGATCTAAGTGCACTTCCCGCTCTACGCATTTAGCTGGTCGAAAATTATTTGACACCTGTGAAAGCATTTGCGATATGCTTAGATGTCGGGTAGTGTATCACAGAGTGCGTTCATCTTCCCAGGGCGGTAGATGACGTCGGACTCCAAAATAAGGTCCGTTACTTTGCTAATCTTTCGGTGATGTTTCCCCGATGAAGTGTGGAGTGATGGGACTTTTTCTGGTTACCGACAGTAGCTAGTTAAACATACACCTGTACCAGGTTCAAATCGTTTGAAATTGGATGAGCTACGGCAGTTTTTAGGGTGGACCTATAGGTTTGCCTAGCACTACATTGATGTGGAGTGCAGTCGATAAAGTCGATAAAGTACATTTGCAAATATGTGAACAAGGAGAGTGACATGGCGGTCTGGCGTATTCTAAGTTTCAGAATACATAAACATCGCCCACCTGTCACCCATACATGTACATCTAAAGAATGGACAACGCGTCTTTTACGGCTGATAATGCGCGGCAAAGAGCTGCGCAGCCACAACAAACAAGTTCGACGGTATTCTTTCTTCTGTGCCAACATTACCATTTGCACGAACTTTGTTGTACACAGAAGCTGCAAGATATTATATTTGGAACAAGTCAACAAAGAATTGGGCCAGAAGAGAGCAAGGTGCTGAAGTTTCCGGATATAACGATAGAGCAGCGGCTGTGTTAGCAGGTGTATAAATGCTTTTACCTAAAGCTGTTGCTCCATACAATCCGCGGGCCGCGTCATTCACAACATTAAAGGCAGTGTCCGGGCAGAAACTCGACTTCTAAAAAATCAACTTATCTGGGGTTATCCGCAACGCTGAATCCGAAAATCCACATCAGAAGGCGCGAAAACGACGAGAACATGCATTTTCCAAGTCCTCACATTTCGAAATTTGGGGATCCCCGCCAGGCTAAGACGCAGAGGTTGCAAAGAGCGCACGGTTTTTAACTGTGGCGGCATACGTACTCTGCCGTCTGGCAGGAATTCAAACAACTCGGAGGACCCCGCCCCAAGGCGTAAGTTTCCCCAATTTGCAATCGTTTTTCTTGCTTTAGGTCGAACGTTTTATGCTCGTAGTTGCGCGATGTTGTGTCTCAGGGGGGCTACTTTCACATGGCAGAGAAATCTCAGAACCCCCATTTTGCCCGGACACTGCCTTTAAGGACCATCGATGGAGAATTCTGTGAGAATAACCGAGACCCAGTGAGAAGCATGCCGGAGACTTGGATTGCTTGAAGATGATCACTGGGACGGAACTCTCTCATAAGCATCTGTAACAAGTTTCGTTTCTGAGTTAGGAAATTTCTTTGCAATCATCTTGAGGGCCTGCACACTGTCAAATCCTCGTGTACTCTTGGAGAAGCACAAGGAAGCTCTGGTTGATGGTATACTCAGAAAAATTCGCAGAGCGACACTTTCGGCAGACATTGACTACTTTTCCCGAGATATTCAACTGAGGATTAATATTACTTGAGAACAGATATGCGTCGATGGCCAGCAAACCATTAGGGATCTCAGTTAGCCTTTAGCACTACGCGGGGTTACCCAACATTCGAAAGCAACGTTCTTCGAGAAAGGTCCTATGATGTTGATCAGCTGTCGATATTTGTAGAATCTAACAGACCTCCTCTTTCGGAGGATCAAGAGTTAGCATACCACGCGGTTCTGGACACGATTTCCAGTGCCAGGGGTGGGCTACTCTTCCTCGATGCTTTCGGTGAAACAGGGAAAAGTTTTTCATCAATCCCTACTTGATGAGAATCGCAGTCAAGGAGGCACCGCAATCATCGGAGTTGCCTCAATGCTAGAAGAAAGTCGAACTGCTCATATAGCCTCCAAGCCTCGAAGGGCAGACACCGACAAACTTTTTCAAAACTATCGATATTTTTTAAGCTCTTACCACAATCGCATTCACCTGTCGACCTTTTCAGTGAAACAATTTTGTCTGCGAAAAGACAGCAACCAAAAACCAATCGGATGTGTTTCATTTGATATCTTTCGTGCCTTACTCATTCCGCCATAAATGGTTGTTCAATCTCGGACAGCATTCTTATTTTTATCCGATGCTTGCCAACGAATTATTTCAAAAATGTGAGGTTAGGTATGAAGAAGTTTATACCGAGTGATTTTTCTTGGAAAATGCATCAGAATGGATTCTACTAAAATTTCGATCTAGAAACTTCTCGTTTTCCCGAGGTTTTGCGTTTTGCAAAGCAACAAGTAAAGACTGCTACCAAACCTTAGAACGGAAATTTTTCTCTCTTTCTGTTATTCATTGCTTTGTACCAGGTTGTTTGGATTCAAGCATATATTTGATACTCCGAAATTAAGCTGTGAACTTTTAAAGAAGATTAGGATTTGACAATATAGCAAATCCTAAGCTAAATACTATCAGGTTGTCCCACAAGTTCCGTCCGTTTTGGTTTTCAATCGCGATAAATCATGAACTTCTTATTTTTAGATAGGCTTCAAAGTACCTTTCGATAGAGCAAAGCAAGCTCTACAAAAAGGCTCTCTCGCTTTTGCACTAGCTCTGATTCGTCTCGAGTTTTAAGGCGAAAACTAAAAAGATTCAACTGCCCGAAAAATCGAGAAAAAATTATAACTCTGTTTAAAAAACTTCTACAAAAATTCTAACTTGCTCGCATGAACACTATCCATTTGAGACATTTATATACGCTGTGCTTTTTTCCATGGCTAGAAATTAAGAAAAAGAAGATTTTTATTTTTTTGCTAAAGCGAGCTGTGCGGTACCTACATAGATAGCTGCATACTAGTAGCTCGCAAAAGTACAAACGTTTGTATACATACAGTTTGCCTTAGTTGGGTTCCTTATGTTGAAATCCATATTTCTCGAAAACTAGTGCCTGTAGAGAGCTGAAAACTTACACTTGTACTTCGACGGGCTAGTAGTATACAACTATCTATGTAGGTACCGCACAGCATCGCTTTAGCAAAAACATGAAAATCTTGTTTTCTTAATTTCTAACCGTGGAAAAAATACGGCAACAGCATATATAAACGTCCTAAATGGATAGTGTTTACTTGAGCAAGTTAAACTTTTTGTAGAATTTCCAAAGGAGTTGTGATTTTTCTCGATTTTTCGGGCAGATGAATCTTTTTAGTTTTCGCCTTAAAACTCGAGACGAGTCAGAGCTAGTGCAAAAGCGAGATAGCCTTCCTATAGAGCTTGATTTGCTCTATCGAAAGGTACCTTGGAATTTATCCAGAAACAAGAAGTCCATGATTTATTGCGATTGAAACCAAAACAGACGGAACTTATGGGACAACTAGTATTCTACGCGCATTTTCTCGAGATTTTCGGTGACATCACGAACAAAATTAGAAAACATTTGATTTTGCAAAACCATTCATGTAAGGTTTTGAATATTGAGCAGATTTTTTGGAATTTTTCGATCTTTTACTCGGAATTATCTATGGAAGTTTCGAGTAGGTGTTCTGAGAACTCAAAATTTACTTGACGTAACGAAAAGGTACTACTGCTGCCTGTTCTTCTTCAGAAAAAAAATCTGCGATAGCGATTCGCACTTTAAATGCCAGAATGAGTATGGCGTGAATACCAAAAAGACTGTTGAGATCAATGAGATGGAAAAATAAAAAAGGAATCCTGGTTCTTATGAGAAGTGTATCACAAGTCGGTCGCCATGTGGAAATGTATGATGGAGAAAGCGGGAAAACATTAGGCGCTTTCAACAACGGTAAGGAGGCAGCTGACATAAGGTCGCGTGTATAAGACTATACTTCGCACTTTTGAAGATTTTGCAGTCCATGTCTACATACATAGAATCAAATCAAGATTGCAAAAGGAGGAGCTTTTCCTCTTTTTTCCCTGAAGAAACTTTGGAGTACTCTAGATACAAGTTATCGTTATAGATAAAGATGAAACAATATAGAAGGAATCTTGACATTTTTTCGTACCATCAGCCAGCTTGCGCGCGGCAGGTACAGTGAATTTTAAAGTGATTATCTTTTGCCCAAATATTAGGTTAATGCAAGATTTCTGTCGCATCATTTTTGGAAATCTTGCTTTCTCGACGGATTTGCACAATCTCATTATACTAAAGAGGAAATCTCTTTGTGATAGTACCTGTGCTGCTTTCTAATAAGGAGTAGCTTTTGAGATGGAAGCTGGAGAATAAAATTACTTCAACTTCGGTCATTAAGTCAGGCTGCTAAAAATCTGAACTGCGTTTCGAACAAGCAGTGTAGTAAGTCTTTTGATGCACTGTTTCCAATAAGTTTGTGTTAAAAGAGCATTTCTGTGAAGAGTTATGATTTTTGACAAAAACGCAAGAAGATTAGAGTTACTGTTTTGTACTGCTTACCCAAAAACTCATAGCTCTTCACAGAGTTGCTTGCTCGGAATTTTATCGCAAGTTTCAGATTTTTAGCAGTTTGACCCAAAATGGCTGAAGTTGTGATTGTATTCTCTCGCTCTATCTC